TATATATATATATATATATATATATATATATTTTTTTTTGAATATGATGCACTTGAAAAGATTGTCATTTAGTACAACTGTTACAAAATTAAAGTCCTTTTAAGTTTTTCAAAAGAACATTTTTTCAACGTATTTTTTTTAAGACTTTGCTCAATAAATCACAAAAGTATTTGGAAGATGCCATTTAAAAACGGTTTTAAAAAGTATTAGTTGGTTAATGTTTTTAATAAAGCTATATTTTTTACTCAAAGTCTTCTTTTACAAAATTCAATGACGTTTAAGATGGGGTAGCGGTGGATATATGAGCTAAAAAAGTAATAATGAACTGAAGTTCTAAAAGCTTTAATAAATGCATTTTCAAAGAAGTCAGAAGCATTTCATTATTTCATTAAGAATGAAACAGGTTAGAATGTGTCAAACAATGCCATGTTTACCCAAAAGATGCGGTTTTCTGAAGCTTTTGGAAGGTGTGAGGTTATGCTGAGAAGGCCTGGTCAGATAGTATCTTCGGTTTTGCCTCCAAAGAGCAGAAGTTACACTATCTAGTAAATTTGAAAAGGATTGGGAAGTCAATTGAAAAAGTTTATATAGCCAATCCCATGCAAATTAGTATACTTCTTTTAGTCGGCCTCTCAGATTTCTTTCATCTTCTGCCATTTTTTGAGGAATTGATGCTCGATTTTGAAATCTAAAGGGTTTACCTTAAAAAGGGCGCTGGAGACAAAGTTAGACCGTTCTGAGTGTTGATGAAAACACATTTTTTTTTCAATTTTTTTTGCTGAACACAGTTGCCTTTATGAATTTATATTTCTGTTTATCCGCAATAGGCTTTTGATCTTTTCATTTTGCTCGAAATCCTGTCTCTTGTAGAATCTGAAAAGTAGTAATAAATATGTATGCTAGCGAATTATTTAGAAGAATAGATTAAAATCAAAAGTTAGAAGCGTTTTCTTTTTAAAAATGTAAATTTTTGAATCTTCCAAAAATGATATATATTCATTTTCATAGTTTTTGTATAACACAAAAACTACAAAGTAACACTGTTGAGACTGGATTGCAAAAAATCCTCAGTTTATGCCGCATTACTATGATTATTTCTACAATCCATACTTCTTTACTTCCTCACTGAACCTTTTTGAATCATTTGTTTAGAATTTATTGCTGGCTTCTAGGGGCAAATGTTGCTTTGTTAATATCTTTTCAAAAGCGCGTTAATTTTTGACTTTACAACAAAGTTATGGGACTGGTGAAAATTGAAGAATATTCTTTCAGATAAAACATGAAGCATACGAATGGATTATGTTTTGTATCACTGCGTAGCCTTGTGAACCACTAATGCCGGATTTTAAGATAAAGAGCTGGTGAAAGTCGAATAATTTCTTTTCAGATAAACTAAAGAATAAGTTGTTGTTTGTGCTCTCGTCTGGTAGTATTGCTGAGTGACCTTCGAAACCGCTATAGCCAGGTCTTTACCAAAGTCGCTAACAAATGCATTTCTGGAAAGCAAAACAACATTTGCTATCAGAAGTCGGTGTTGAGTTGAAAATTTTTGTTTCAGAATGCTTTAGTGAAGAAGCAAAGAGATGCAGATTGAACAAGTAACCACAATAATGATAATAATTTTTTCTATAAAATTTCAAACAAACCAACCAATAGCAAAAAAATTTTTAATTACGTACTTTTTATCGCAATGGATAGACTGAAACATGATATAACGATATTTCAGTCAAAATTGGGAAGTTTTCACTTGTAGAGGAGTCGAAGTGCTGCGTAATTTGGAAGTTTTTCGCAGTCTAGTCTTATTATTAGGATTGTAACTCGTGATGCCAATAGAAGATCACTTTGTACTTTTAATATGTTGTGCCGAAATTATAAATCTTAAAAATATTTCTGTTTTAAAAAATTCAAGATTTTGGTTGTGGAAGGCAATCGTTCTAAATTCTTGCTTAGAATCCAATTTCCCGAGTAATCTTTTAATATATTTGTTTCACCAATTGTCTGACTCTGCATTTTAAAAAATTTGCTTCACAAATGCCTTGCTTGAACCGCGTTTGTTGAAAGCCTCGACTTCATAAGCACGTCAGAACAGACTGACTTATCGTCAGTGTGCTTTTTCAGAAAAGCTTTTTCGATTTCAAAACCTGGCATTAAGTCTTACAAGCCAGCAAAAGCGAGAAAAATCTGAGAGCTTGGTTGAAAAATGTGTCTTTTTCTCGAAATGGATTATATATATCTGTTTTATTATAGTACAATGGAACGTTGTCTTATCCCAAGGAGTTTTATTGAGAAGGAAAATAAGCAACGGAAATTGACTGCTTTTCAAAATGCCGTGATTCGCTTTGTATTTGGTAGCGGGAGTGTTGTTCAGACTTGCTTTTATTCTTGTGAACCAGGTAATTTAAGTGAAAAGAAAGATTTTTAAAAATTGAGAATTACTGCACCACAAATCTTCGTAATTTTATGCAGCATAACTTCATAACTTCTCGTTGTCTTATTTTCTGAAGGTAGGACTGTCTTTTAGACGTAAATTTTTTTGAGACGGCGATTAAGAATAGTTCATAAGACTGCAGTTGTCTAATTATTTTAGCTTCTCGGTTATATGATTGCGTGGCTAGTTGGTTTTCTGAGAAGTTACAGTTTACTCTAAGTTTTGGACTAAAGCAGTGGATAAAAAACGACACTACAAAAAATTTGGTGGACATCGACGCGGCACCTTCTTCAAGAATTTATGTCAATTTTATTAAATCAAAAGTAGATTATGGTAAACAATGTCCTGCTTTTGAAGCCTACTCTACCAAACCACAGCCCTTTTAAATTTTCTATTCAGCTGTTCTTCTTATTCCATTTGAAAAACATTAAATGTTATTAGTCAGTTAGTCATTTCAGAACGTTTGCTTTTGATACCAGGCTTGAAGTGTGGAACGAGAAAAGAAGCTGATGCGGTGTGTAAGAAATGGTACTTTTTTTTGGCAGCTTAGGGGGGACAGTAGAAACACCATTGTTTTTAAAAAATTCACCTTGTTTTTTTTTTAAAAGAAAAGAAGTATTTTGTTTTAGAGTTTTGTGAAGATGTTCAATTTTTTCTATTCTTTATCACGCAAAAGTTACATAATTTTTTTAGAAGGTGTTGGTTTAAGTAAACGGATTGAGCACTTTTTCGACGTGGCTTTTTGCAGGTTGTCTGCTAATTCAGCATTTGTTTCATTCAAGCCCAAACTCGAATTTGAGGAGGAGAACCAAGAATCTGTATTCAGCAGTGAAAGCGCGTCTCGTGATGACGTGAAGTCATTTAAAAAATCTTCCACACCGACTCCCAAGTGGTTCAAAAAACTGTGATTTTACTATAAATTTCATTTAGTCGTTACAAGTTTTTTTACGATTAGTAATCTGGTTTCTTGAGGCTTTCGGAGAATATTTTCTGAATAGCTTTTTAAGTAGATGACACAAAAATTTTTTTGAATATGTGGTTATTATTTCATTTCGCTGTGACTTAATCATCTTTCAACATTTCTTTCCTTCCTGCATTACTAAAAAGAAGTTTTCGGAAAAGGAATAGATTTTTTCAAGAAATAATTGGTTTAATTGGGAACAAAGCTGGTATTTTCGTAATCTTCTACAATATAATTTTGAAACGTCTATAGTTGAACTAGAAAATAACTTCGAGAAGTTAGAAAATGGTGATGTCTATAATTGGATAAGTTTGCAAAGTTTTTAAGTTATGCCAAGCATCGTTACAGGAGTATGTATAAATTTATTGTCGTTTTGCACTGGCAGAACCACAACTTATTTGGTTTCTATTTACAAATTAAATTTATTATTTTAGATGGAAAGGTTTAAGAATAATTTTTGAAGGCTAGCCATGATCACAAAAAGTCTTGTTTAGGATTATTGGATCAGTTTTACTCTCATTATCAGTAGCTCTTTTTTATGGTTTAATAGAACTAATTGCCGTCTTTTAACAAGTGTGCTTCTGCGCATTTGGAACTCGACTTCAAACTTTCTCTTGATTTGTTTTTTTCGTTGTCATCAAGCTGAAGTCCTTCAATCACCGGCAATTGAATTATATCTCCTGAATGTGTGGCATTTTTTATCCCTTCTGACGCTTCCTGGAATCACTGTGCTTCTTAGTGATGATAAGCAAGCTAAGATTTGATTTTTCCTCCTTGTTTTGGAGTGCTGATGCAGATAACGGACTAACCACGTCGTTGTTTAAATCTAATGAGTGAAATTTCATCGACGCTAATTTCTTTGTTTTCAATTTCGATGTGCTTGACGTTTTCTTGAAGGGTCTTATATCCGCGTTAGCCTATGATAAATGTTAGTAAGTAGAGATGAGGCCGAATAAGTGAAGGAATTAAATACAGTTTGGATTCGTTGTTGCTTCCATGCAGCTTTGAAATTTCCTTATATTTTTGGACGGTCAGGTTTCGTTATTAATCATAGTGTTCAAGGATATATTTCTATTATTTCAAAATTCCACATGGAAACGGGGCATCGATTAAAAATTCTTTAATGGTCACATATTATTTAACAGACTTAACGTACATAACTACATCTACCCCCTGTTGAGTATAAAAAACCTTTCTTTGTTATCCATATTGTTTTGAATGTTGATAATGATAGATATACTAGTCTCTGAAATAAACCTTACCTTTATAAGTGAGTTTAAAGGGCTGTAAGGTCGAGAGCCGTCATTTGTGGACTGGTTTGACGAGGTTTCTGAGGCATCAGCTCTGTAAATTGGATTTGCATTGCAACTTTGTTGCACAATTTAATCAGTTCTACTGAAATGTTGGGATGTGTCCAGCGTATCTTACACAGAGATAAGGTCATTTTTTGCAAATAGTTAAAACGTTTCCTTTCAGTATAAGGTGAGATGAGTAGTATTTTATATTAAAAATAAGAAGCTACTGTTTAAGAGTTTTAGTAAGTGTAGAAAGTTATTAAGGATAGGAAACAAACTTTTTTTGATCTGCATTGGCCATTTCTGAAGAATCTGCCGAAGTTATTTCACGTTTTGGAGTCGTTCGAATGAATTCAACTAAGTCTATTTTCTCGCTTTCTATCGACTCTTGTCTGTTGACCATCATAGGTGTTTCTGGAGGTTTAATGTTTTACTGCTATCACCTTTGGCTATTTTCTTTACTGCATATGTAAACGCTTCAACAGTTTCGTAAAAACTTTTTACAAAAGTAGTATTGAAGAACAGACTCTAAAATTCGCATGTAATTTCACTTTCTAAAAGAAATACATTAATCTGTCACTTATTGACCAAAGATAGTGGTAAGTTTATGAGAACGCAGAGTTTAACACAATAACGTTGTTGCTGAAAAACCGCAGTAGCAGCAAGTCAACGAAATTGCAGATTTATCTTTCTCTTAGGCCCAGCAGTTAGGGTGCAAAGATAAGTAACTGTGTGAAATAGTTTAATTGTAGCTTAGGTAGACACACTTTAATAACAAAAGTGGTTTCATGTGCTGAGAAAATTTTTTGAGCTAATCCTATGTCTG